AAGCGGAAAATTGCTTTTAAAAAGGAAAGAAGAGTGACTATTGATGAGGAAAGTTTTGTGTTTCCAGCCACATGAATATTTCTATTTACTTAGGGTATATATTTAATTAATAGGGAAAACAAGATTGATTGGTTACTTTGAAATAGGTTTTAATTTAAGTAAGTGATATTTAACCCCTTTGGAGTATATTTTATATTTTTCTTTTCTTTTACTCCTTACATATATTTGATTGACTATAGATTAATGACCTTAATATATTGATTAATATAAAGATGAGATAATTAATTGTTCTTTCCCTCTCTTTCTTCTACCCTCCTTACATTAAATACCGTGAAATTATATATATATATATATATATATATATATTCATTCTTAAGTTTTCACAGCTTTGTTCATCTGACAAACACTATACAGAAGCCTGATGATGGCAGATGAGATTCTGCCGAAAGGTTGCTACAACTTTAAAAGCACAACTATAATAACGTGGGAAAATACCCGAACAAAGCTGAATACCATATATGTGTGTGTGTGTGTGTGTGTGTGAAGTTTCTTAGCGGGTACTTACAAGTATGGTATTCAGCTTTGTTCGGGTATTTTCCCACATCATTATAGTTATGCTTTTCAAGTTGTAGCAACCTTTCGGCAGAATCTCATCTGCCATCATCAGGCTTCTGTATTGTGTTTGTCTGTGAGTCAGACTTTCACAGCTGTTTCAGTTTTAAATTTGGAGCTAGCCTACTACTGGCACAGCAATTACTTCTTTAAATTAATTGCTATATTTCAGTTAATATTACCTTAAATATGTAATAATTTAAATTTCTAATTTATATATATATATTAGAAATTTAAATTCTTATTATATATTTAAGGTAATATTAACTGAAATATAGCAATTAATTTAAAGAAGTAATTGGGGCTATAACACTTATATATTTAAACATAGTTGAATGATTTTTTTGACCTGTTAGATGATTTAAGAATTGACGATTTATTGAATTTATTAAGACTAGATACAATGCTAATAGAACATGAGGTGAACAATTAGAGTAATAACGAGTAAAGTGGGCTAGAAATGAAAACATAATTAAGTAACAGATAAGAATCTTCTCGCCTAACAGTGCTAAGAAATTAAACCAAGCATATAAATAGTAATATAAAGCTTAGAGAATTGAGAAAATCGAACTGTAAAACATAGATAAAGTTGATGATAGTAGGCAATACGACTTGGGAGAATATAGCTAGGATAGTGGAGAAACAACAAAGGATTAAAAATATGACCAGCACATCTAACACCATTACTAAAGTAGGAAGAAAACTGACACTAGCAGTAACACTATCCACTCCCACAGCAACATTGACCCAAAAAACGATTGAAGGGATGTTGGCGCCAGAAAAATCTACGGCCCAAACCAGTACACAATCGGTTCAAACTATTCAAAGCATGATGTTGACATTGCAGGAATCGATGTCCAAAAACCATATGGAAAGCAAAGCAGAAAGAGAAATAATGAAAGAAGAATTAAAAAATGAGTTAGGGGAAATGAGAAGTGAAGTCCAAAATTTAGATGGAAAGATAGGCCAGATCCAAGAATTGATTAAAATAAATGAAGAGAAGATTAAAGCGATTGAAAAACAAGCTAATCAAACGGAAAAGAAGTTGGAAAGCATGGAACAAATAATAAGGAGCAGAATAGAGACCAATGAGACCTTGACTCAGCTTGAGATGGTCAAGGCCTCCTATTGTCTTAGATTCCAGAACATGGAGGAAGAGAGGGGAGAGAATTTACCGTTGGTGATGGCGGAGATGTTGGCGGAGCTTTTGAACAGAGATAGGGATGAGATGGTGAATGAGCTGGATGACGTATACAGAGTGTACACAAGCTACGCGAAATGGCATAGACTCCCCAGAGAAGTGCATATTAGATTTGTAAGGTGAGTGAAGGATATAATTTATAGAATTATGAGAGATGAAGGAATAAAATACAAAGATAGAGATATCTTTCAGATGGATTACCCCAGAGGGTATACTAGCAATATGGAAGGAAAAAAGGGTGAGAATAGATAACCTAACCAAAGCTCAAGAATTCTTTGACCAAATAGGAGGAATAGAGGAAGAACTGAGCAGCAGAGACGATCATGAAATTCCAAGCCAAGAAGAGCTACAATCTAGAAGCAGGGAGAGGGAGAAGGAGAGGGAAGGAGATGAGGAGACTCTGGGAAGAGAAGAAATAGGAGTGAGGATGAGAAGTCAAACAACAGGTAAAAATATTGAGGGATAGAAGTAAGAAAGGAATGGATAAAGGAGTGAATTTGATATCTATAAATATTAATGGGTTAAATGACCCAGCTAAGAGAAAAAGACTATTTTTTAAGTTAGAAAAACAAAAAGCAGATATAATATGTATTCAAGAGGTTCATATAAAGAATAGAGATAAGTGGTACCTATTAAATAAAAAGTTTGGGAAAATGTGTGCAACATTGGCGGAAGGAATAAAAAGAGGGGTAGTATATATAAAAGAAGATATAGCCTCAGAATTGATTTACAAAGATGAATTGGGAAGAATAGTAATGGTAGAGGTGGTAATGCAAAATAAAAAGACATTATTGGTGGGGATATATGCCCCTAACAAAAACCAGAGTGAATTTTCAAAAGCTTATATGAAAAATTAATAGAATTTGGAAACCCAAGAATTTGCATTATAGGAGACTATAATGCAATAACAGATAATAGACAAGATTATGCTTGTGAACAAAGACAATATAAGAAAAGGAATACATTACCTAAGAAATTTATAGAGATGGTCGAAGAATTAGAATTAGTGGATGTGTGGAGAAAAAGGAACCCAGGAATATCACAATTCACTTTCTACTCCAGCCCACACAAAACATGGTCCAGGATAAATATGGCCTGGGTAAATAGCGAGCTATATAAAGAGATTCAGGACATAAAAATTTTCTCTAACACGTGGGCAGACCACAACCCGATACAGATAGTTTGGAAAAATAGTCATTATAAAAAAGGTAGATGGACACTTAATTCCCAAGTACTGAAAGAGGAAGAATATATTCAAAAAGTTAGGGAAGAATTGATTAGTTTTTTTCAAATTTAATAAAAAACAGGATACTTCATTGCAGAACCTATGGGATACAATGAAGGCATACTTAAGGGGAATATCGATAGCTTATATAGCAAATAGAAACAAGGAAAGAGAGAGGAAGTGGAAAGCCGTAACCAAAAGGATAGAGAAATTGGAAAATAAGCAAATGGAAACCCTGGGAGATGAGTGTATCAGAAACGAACTAGCATTAGTTAAACATGAGATGAATATTTTAGATCAAGAGGAACTAATTAAAAAATTATTAGATACAAAACAAAATTATTTCGAACATGCAAATAAACCCGGAAGGTGGCTGGCATATAAATTAAGAAAAGAAAATCAGAAAAGAACGATATACCAATTACAGGATAAAAATGGAAT